TAATGTTACTGTTGTTTTATAATTATTATTATTACTATTGTTTAAACTGAATGATGATGATGATAAAGCTGCTGTTGTGTTATTATTGTTGTTATTGTTATTATTGATATTGATACTATATGGTTCTATGATATTTACTCGATATTTTAATAGTAATTCTAATGATTTAATTGATGATATTGAAAAACTTTTATTATTAATTGTGTAGTTTGGTAAAAATGTTGGTACATTCATTGATAGGAATACTCCAATGCTTCTATATTATCTAAAGAGTATGCACATTCTACTAAATCAAACATGTGCAGCTGTTCTTTTTTCTTTTCTGTAAAGTAAAATTAATTTTTTTAATTTTTTTTTAATTTTTTTTCTAAAAATAATTAAAATCTATAATCATTTTGTTTTTCCATTTTGAAAAAAAAAATTAATCATTACTATTATTATATGTTGCTATTATTATTATTATAGTGCATATAATAAATGATGATAAATTTAATAAAAAAAAAAATTCAAAAAATTCAAAATTAATTTTTTTAATTTTTTTTTAATTTTTTTTTTCTAAAAATAATTAAAATCTATTATCATTTTGTTTTTTTTTTATATTTTTATTTGTAAATAATAATTTTTTATATATTTTTGTTTGAATAATCAAAAAAAAAAAAAAAAAAAAAATTTTATAAAAATTAAAATAAAAAAAAAAAAAATATGATTCTATAATTGATTTTTCAATTGAATGAAATGCATTTTGACATGAACTAGGTCTTGTGATGGGTCATGAAACATTTTTTTTGATACCATTTCTTTAAAAATTGACTAAAGATTTTCAATTATATTAATATCTGGACTGTAGGGTGGTAATGGTTCAACTTGTATATTATTCTCTTTTAAATATTGCTTCACTATCTTTGCTGTATGCCAACTTCATTTGTCATGACAAATGATTGAAACCCTTTAATTTTATCTGCATAGTATTCTAAAGTAAGTTGTGTATCGCTTTTTATAATTTCAAGATTTAGTTTAGTAAAACATTAGTGTCATAAGCCCATGAAGACTTTCCATGGTCATTATCAAAATATTGGAACTTTACTTCATCCATAAACATACATTGTTCCACAATAAAATCTATATGCACAACTTCGAAAAAAATCTTTTTCTTCTATTATGTCTAATCGTATATAATTAATTAAGAGTTTATTTTTTTATTTATTTATTTATTTATTTTTTATTTTTTTTTTTTTTTTATTAACTTTTAAATTTATATTTAATTTTTTTGTTTTTACAACCCATAAAATCCCCCAATATCATAGCCAAATGCATAGTTTAAAACTAATTTATCTTGACTAACAGATACCTATAATATCTTGGGTTCATTTATGAAATATGCGGGAAATCTTTAAACCATTTGGAACTCTTTTAAGTTGATGAATTTTTAAACCTTCTTGAAAAAACTGTAAATTTACGACTTAAACTATTCTTTACCAAACAAAAAAAGGGATTGAACGATCAAATTGGAACTCTTCGGTACTACTTCGGATTTATACTTTTTGGAACCTCCTTCAATTTCTCTTTTATAAATGTCTTTCTGAGGTGATTTTAATTTTAAAAAAAAACCGAAATAAAAAAATAATAAAAAAAATAATATTCTCTAAAAAAATATTTTAAAAATTATATAAAAATAAAATTATATCATGATGAGCTATTTTTAATAAAAAGGAAAACGGTAAAAAATAAACATATTATTTATAAAAAAAAAATTTATTATTTTATTATATTTTATTTGAAAATTTAATTATTAGGATATTGAAAATAGTAAAATCATTTGATGTTCCAATATATTTGCCTGGCCAGGGAAAATGTATCTCTTCCATCAAATAGATTGAACTATTATACCCTATTATTATTATTATTCTTTTTTTTTTTTTTTTTTTTTTTTTTTATAAAATTATTAATTATTATCGATTTACTAAAAGTTCTTTTCTAAAGCTTTAAGGTTGATGATGCTGCTGCTGATGAATGGTGATGATGATGATGAGGACCAAGATGAATGCTGAGGATGATAATGCTGAGGACCAAGACGAATGCAGACGATGAATGCTGCTGATAAATGCTGCTGATGAATGCTGCTAATGATAATGCTGAAGACCAAAAAGAATGCCGGTGAGGATGCTGATGATGATGAGGAACATAATGAATGAGGACCAAGATGAATGCTGATGGTGATAAATTTAATCTACTATATAATTTTTTCTAAATAAAAACTTCTAAAAGAATCTACAAAAATAACGTTTTGGTTGTTGTAGTTGTTGTTGTTGTATTTGTTGCTGTTTTTGTTGTAATTCTTGTATATGTTGTTGTTCTATTTGATGAAATAGTTCAAATTGTTGTAGTCTTTGATAATGTAGTTGTTGTTGTCTTACTTGTTCTTGTTCCATATTTAGTTGTTGTTCTTGTAGTATTTGATTTTCTTTTAGTTGTTGTCTTTGATGTCGTTCTCGTTGTATTTGTTGTTCGTAAGGTAGGTCTTGTTGTTTTTGTAGTTTTATTTGATAATCGTAAAGTTGTAATTTCTGTTGATACTTTTCTCTTAGAAATGAATGTTGTCTAAACATTTGTACTTCAAATAATTTGTATCGAAATAATTTGTGATGATCTTCAAGAAGTTGACTTTCATGACGTTGTCTTGCCCAGTATTCTTCATTAAAGGCACAATTACGGCAGAATTCCCCTTTGATGGTAGAGCAACGGCAACCCTTGTTTTTCTTGAAAATAAATTTACCAAAATAAAAATAAAAAATGGAACCAACAACAATAAATAAAAAAATACCAATGAATAAAATAACAATCATTTTTTTTAAAAAATAAATAATTTTTTAAAATAAAATAAATATATATAAGTGTAAAAATAAAAAAATAAATTATATTATTTAATGTAAAAAAAAAAATATAAGCTGGATGTAAAAAAATATATGTGAGTGATAAATGAAAAAAAATATATGTGAGTGGTAAATGAAAAAAAAAAAAAAAGAAATTTAAAAAATTTTTAAAATTATAAAAAAAAAAAAAAAATAATAAAAAATATTCAATTGTTTAATATAATGTTTTAATTTAATTATTATAATTTATAATTTATAGCTGTATAGATTTTATTTATTTTATATTTTTAAATTGAGAATTTTAATTTTATCTATATTTAAATTTGAAAATTTCATTAAATTCTCTCTTAAATGATATCCAGAATACCTATCTAATTTTAAAAAAAAGATTTAAAAAAAAAAATTAATTAATTTCAAATATTATTTCTATATAGTTTAATACTTTATAAGTTTAATTCTGATGTATAAATAATAATTATCTATTAATAAAAAATATATATTTAAAAAAACTATTGAAAATTTATATTAATTTACTTTTATTTTAATATTATTATTTATTTTTTAAATTAATTTTTGAACTTCGATTCCACAATTATTATTTTAAATGAATAGTTTTATTTCAAACCAATACAATAGTTATTAATAAAAGTATCAATAAAAAATAATATATGAATTATAATTTTTTTATATTTATTTATTTTTCTTTTTAAATATAAATATTATAACAGGTATATATATAGAACTAAAATTTTATTTATCTTTTAATATGGTTTCATGAAGGTTTTTAGAATAAAAAAATATTATAGAATAAAATTTAAAAATGAAAAAATAATTTAAAATGAAATTAATTAAAAAATAAATTTGTTAAAAAAAGGGGGAAATGAAATGTGTGTTGGTGCTTTTTATTATATTGTCTATTATTATAAACATATTTGGTAAAATCCATAATCTTTATTTTAATTAAATGTGCGAAAATAGGTTAAATTAATTTATATAATAATCTTTTTTTTTATTAAAATTACTCATTAAATCAGCACATTATCTTTAAACTAATTTCAATTTCAATTTTATTGAAATTCAAAAAGAAGTAGAGAAATTTACAGAATGGGTTCTATGTATGGATACAGATCCTTCAAAAACACTAAAGTAAGTGTAGAAAAAAACACATAATTATAATTTTTAAAATTAATTTAAATTACTTTATAATTATTTTATTAAAATTAATCATTAAATAAATATTATTAAATTATTTAATTTACTTGTATCAATAATATAAATAATCAATTTAATTAATTT